CTTTCTTTTGTCAAGCACAGTATAAGCAAAGCAAAGCAGAGATTAATTAATCTTTCAAAGGGTATCTTAATCAAAAGACATTTTGTTTGAGGGACATTTCGAATAATACAAATATCTCCCTTCATATCATTTTTAAAAGATTAATATGTAATTTTTCTTAAGGTTCCTGGCCTTCGTATTGTCTACCTTTTTTTAATGACGAGAAAATGCATGCTAAAAATTCTTGCGAAATACGTTAAAATAAAAATATATATCCATAAAGTAACAGTTGCAATCAATTAAGTAAATTTGTAAGATATTCTGTGCACTCCCTTTTTGCTCTAATAATCAATAATTTGTCATAAATTAATGTGACATACAATTAATCTTCTTAACCTATTTCTTCGCCTATTTCTATTTAGTTAATTTATAATAAATAATTATTTATTAATTTATAATAAATTTAAATAAATTTATTATAAATTAATTATAATAAATATTTTAGTTAATTTATAATAAATTTCTATTCAATTAATTTATAATAAATTATTAATCGTTAGAGCAAAAGAGCAAATGCACGGAATATCTTACAAATTTATTTAATCGATTGTAAATGTTATATATATCTTTATGGATATATTTTTTTATTTCAACGTATTTCGCAAGAATTTTGCATTTTCTCACTTCTGACGTCATTAAAAAGCGATAAACAATACAAAAGAGCCAGGAGCGTTAACAACAGCGATAAAAGGGCAAGATATACACAAAGAGAGGAAGAATGCCTGAAAGATAAAAAATACTTATTCGGTGGGTACTAATGGCATATTTGCTTATATCAAAATTCTCTTATTTAAATAGAATAAAGTTTTTTTAAATTAAGGTTCAAGAATAATATTTATATTATATTTTCTTACTTAAAAAATATTTTATGTTGATATAAGCAAATACGTTGTTAGTATCGCCACCAAGGGGATATTAACAAAATATTTTTTCCTTTTTTTAAATATTATTTTTCTCAATGCATTAATAAAGATACATCGAGAAAGATTAATCGCAAATCCGATAACGAAGATAGCGGTTGGAGAATAAAGTTCCTGAAGTACGAGCCGGGATAAACGCGAAAAGAAAGACGCGTCGAACCCTTGTTAATTACCTTAATAACCGTTAATCACCGTTAATAACAACGGAACTTTCCTCTTGGGTCTTAATAATGCGCAAGGGTGCAGTGAGTGGGAGCACGTCACACTGCAATGTCAAACGGCAAAACTCGACGGCGCGTTTCGCATAACTTTATGAAAGCTCGTGGAATATACGACAGTTCGCGATGCGCGAGTTTTCGTGAGGAAAGTACGGCTTCCGGCGCGTCTGCGGCTTTCGCGAGATTGCTCCGAGCAATCTGAGTCCTTCATCGAATCTCCTGTGAGCAGAAACGTATCAATGCGCGGTGATCGGATTCAAACGCAGGGCCGGGTATTAAATTCTAATACATTAATTGGTCGACTCGCCGGAGAAATAGTCCAAATGAAATTCGAGCAAACGCGGAAAACTGTGAAATTTCGGCTAGAAAACATTTCCGAATGTACAGTCTAAGACTCGCCGTTTATTCTTCTTTTCTCCGTGGATATTAGAAAAACGAAACAGCTCGCGAGCGTGATTCATTCTTTCAAGCTCATTCTCTCAACGCAAGCTCAACGCGTGAATCTATTCGACGGAATAAAAATGATGGAGGTAATCATATCAAAATAGATTTTATATATACGCGATTCATTGAGATTCAAATTTAATTAGACATAAAAAACACGAAGAAGAGTAGAACTTTTGGATCGATTGTCTCGATCGCTACGTATCAATGCATAGAATTTTTTTACGCGACTGATAACTTTAATTTCACGCAAGCGAAAAGCGGTTGGCGCGAATTAAACGGCGCGAGTGCGAAAAATTTGATAACGAATGTGCATCGCGCGACGTTAATGAAAGTAAAGCAGAGATTCGTTAGTTTTCGCTTTTTTCAACTTCGCGAAACGGAGCCCTAATTGTGGATACACCTCCACGTCACCGACACGAAAATGAGTCGCTCGGTAATTTGTTTCGCAATTTTATTTCGCGTGGAAGTGGCGCGATGTTCACCGGGAACTTTGCGCGCGCAATCCCGGATTCTTTGGTACTTTAGATACTTAGCTCTTTACAACGTGATCTTTTACGACAGTTTCTTTTTTATGGACACAATTCCAGAGTAAGGCATGCGAAATTGAGTAAACTTCATAAAACTATACAATTACAACTAAATGCTGCTCATTATTGCAAACTTTTCGCGCTTGGTACTCACCACTTAATACTTATTATTAACACAATTATACCATTATTGTTTATTGACGTTCATCGCCAATATGCAATTACATTTACTCACTAACATTATGTAGCTCAAAATTTCTAAATGCGATGGCTATCGAATTTCTAAACGCACCGATTCGCGTACCTGCACTTTCAAACTCATCCATTACTTCAAAAGTTCGCATATCGCAAATTCCATCCTGTACAAGGAGGGAATTTTATAGTAAAAATTACCATAGAATTTAAATCAAGGAACAAATCGATATTTTGCAGTAATTTATTTTTTATTTTATATACTGAAGGAAAAAAATATCTAAGAAATAAAGAGAAAGTATTTATTCAATGAAGCATACTAATAATATATATTTACTCATAAAATATTTTTCAAATAAAAATTTCTCAAATATATATTTTTTTAAAAGCTTTTCATGGAAGCAATTGCTTATACTATTCTATAAAAAAATTAAGACTCAACTAAATAGTACCCACCGAATAAATATTTTTTTATTTTTTATATATTTTCCTCTCACACACACAGTTATATTTTTTACAATTTAGCAACTGAAATGTGCTATTAAAAAATTGCTATTTGTTTGCTAACAAAATTTATTTAAATTTAATTTGTTCCTTAACGAGATAGATCTTACTCTCAATCTATTTCTGCACTACTAAAAATACAGTAAAACTGAGAATTTACATGTAAAAAGGAAACTAAAATATTAACTCCGTGTAATCTGACAATAATTCCGTCTGTCTGCGCATTTCTGTTACACAAAATCTAATTTTAAAACCCAGCAAATTATACGTTTCACACGTACGCGAATTCCCGTCTCGTGAGGTCCAATTCCTAAACGCGATGATTACGTCACACGTTCGTGTGTCCCCGTTGCGTGAACATTAATTTCTAAATGCAATGATTATATGGAATTTTGTCGTATTTACAGTTCGCGGAATCTTATTTTTATGCGCATCAATTACTTCATACGTTAGAGCTATAGCTATTTTCCACGAAATTTCACCTTTAAGCCAACAATTTCGGTCGTTTGTACATATGCGCGATTCCTAATTCCGTCAACTATATTTCACATGTTCGCGCGTATTTCCGCTCGCCGAATTCCGATCCCGACGCACGATAATTATTTCATACGTTCGCGAGTATTCTCGTCGGACGGAATTAATTTCTAAACGCGCGCTCGTTATACCTTTTTACGTATTCCCAATGCCGCGCGCATCCTTATACTTAAACTTGTCGATTATTTTGTACATTCCATCGCGTATTCTCGTGCCTCGTGAATGCCAACTTCGTATACTGCCGACCAGTTCGTGCGTGCGTGCGCGCATTCCCGTCTCGCGAATTCTAATTGTCGAGCACGATAATTATTCCGAACTTTCGCGTGTGTTTCTGCGTTTTAGCGAGATCTAATTTCTAAACCGACTTCGTGTGTCCCTCCCCCCTCAAGCTCGTAATTCAGCCCCGCGTACTCCAATTTCTAAAGACGACGACTACTTAACATGTTCTCGTCAAGAAGGCAAAAACTTGATGGATATACTTATTTCTTATTCAGCGGGTTTGTCAAAAAAATGCTATTTGTGTAACCATGCCATCGCTTTATAAATTATCTTATATTGCTTACGTCTACCGAAATAATAATCGTTTGTGATTTGTCATTTACTTATAGATATCTACACTGAAAGAACAAAATATCTAAGAAATAAAAAATATTCATTCGGGAGGTACTAATAACATATTTACTTATAAAATAATATTAAATTTATTAATATAAAATATTAATAAATAATATTAATATATAAATATTAATAATATAAAATAACATAAAATTTACTTATAAAATTAAAATTTGCATTTCCTTAAAACCTTAGCTTATCATGAAAACAATTGTTTATTGTATTTAATTAAAAAGATTTAGATTTCAGTAAATATGCTATTACACCAAAAAATATATAATCTTGTTCTTGGTGTAAATTCTCTAATATATAGCCTCTCTCAAGAGAATTCTTTTAAAATCAGAAGAAAAATATTCTAATACTCAAATTTTGACTAAAAGGTTCTATTTGCTGTAATCTCATGTTTTAAACAAAAAAAGATTATTGCTCTTTTAATAAAATAAACTATTATATCTAATATCTATCTCTAAAATTATTAATTGAAAATCTACTAGATATTATTTTTTTTTTCAAATTAAGAAGAATATTATTAAGAATAATATTTACATTTGAAACAGAGAAAGAGAGAGAGAGAGAGAGAGAGAGAGAGAGAATGCGCTATTATTAAAAAAAATTTCTATTAAAAATAAAACTTATAAATAAAAATTCTTTTAACTTGAAAAATATTGTGCTTAAAATATTATTCTTTTAATTTTAGATTTATCTTGAGGCCATGTATATAAGAGGATTTCCGCTAAAAATAAGATTCTATTTTTTATAGTACCCATAAAATGAATACTTTTTATTTCGTAGTACTCATAAAATTTCGTAATACCCATTTCGTGTAGTATCCATAAAATAAATACTTTTTATTTCGTAGATATTTTTCTCTCAATATATTTATTTCTTATTCGACGAATTTATCAAGTGCATTTAGATAATCGTGCCATCACTTCATAAATTATATTTCACATAACTTGTATATGTGAAAATAATAATCGTCTGATTTGTTATTTATCACTCACCAATTTCAGAGTTTGAAGTTCTCTACGTGTCTACCACTATTCGTAGCTACGTCTACAAGAAGTCCTCGCCCTTCTCCTTCTCCTTCTCCTCTTACTCCTTATTCCTCTTGTCAAATTCCACACGACACATTCGTGATGTTCACTCGAAAACACTTGTAATCCCAAAGACAAATAAGGCTATATTTAATCTGTTAACGACATTGTACGATTTATCTGCGCGACTAAATCTTACAAACTTCCTCGCAAATGAGATCTTTAGTACTATGCGAAAAAGAGAACAAGTGCGAGCGAAAATAAACATTGCTCGTCACGACATGTACGACGTGCGTCGTGAGACGTACATAAGTATTTACGACGCTAAACGATAAAATGTGTAAAGAAATGCCGCGACTACGACGACGATCACAATAAAGATCGTAACGCGACGCGGCCACTGTGCCGTCGTTTACCCGCGCAAATCGCCAAAAGTCAACATGGCTGAGCGATGATTGAGATAGCCCGAGCGACTTGACGGCGTCGCGCGGTCGCGTGTCTACCTCGTAGAATCCGCGGATCGTATTGCGGTATTTATTATGGCATTGAAATTACGGCGGGGCTTTATTAGCCGCGACACGACCTCACGTACCTGTTACTACGACGCAGTATTTATGACAAGGCGCGTACCGCTCACGAAAATCCTGCTGTGGAAAGCTCGAGAAAGGACAGCCCGAGAAAGGACAGCGAGCGAGAGTGAGGCCGCCAATGTGACCGCGAGTGAGACAGACAGAGGGGCCTACGTGCTCCGGCGCTTCTAGAAGCTTCGCGCTCGCGAAGTCTCGCCCTGCTCATCTGCGGCACAATCAGTACATTTTATGCATGATTTTCAGAGCTCTGTGTACGCCATACATTATTTGATATGTCAGGGAAAGGATACTCACGAAAATCCGGTTGAAAAGATGGGAGATAAAGGGAGGAACGGGAGCAGGCTTTCGACGCGATCGCTGCGGCGGCCGGTCTGACGGCGAAAGCGGCCGACGATCGCCGAAGGCGCCCGAAGCGCGCGCCGTCACGACCGACGCCGCGTCGCGTGCGTTCAAATTCGCGCGACTACATCTCGTTTTCATCGAAATTAAATTATTGGAGCTTATCGGGCACAACGTAACCTTATGATTTTGTTATCGCGACGCATTATTTAGTGTGACAACGGTATGGTGGTCACGAAAATGCGGCTGAGAGGCACAGGAATAATTGAAGAAAGTGAATAAAGAAACTAAAGGAGCACGATTTCTCTCTCAACACGAGTTTGGTCAGCTATGCTTTCAGAATGATTCTCCGTTAAGAAATAAACAAGAAATATAGAATAGAAGCGTTCATGAGAGAATCGATCTCGACAATTGGCAAATCAGCAATATTAATTAATACTTTTTTCGTTTTTTTGTGTTTAACTTCCACGATAATACTAGATATCCCGTGATACGTTCTACATGTGTACGCCGAATGGTAATGAAATGAACTCTTGAGTGTTCGAATGAACAATTAATAATATTAATTAACAATCTTTTCGTTTATCCTGAGTTCTATTTTCACGACAATATTCTCTAAATTTTTGAGAATGAAATTTTACTTGGAAAGTAAAGTGATAAAGTTAAGTTACTCGAATTTCAGTTATTTTTCACTCCTATAGAGTGAATTCTTCACTCTGAATCGTCTAGTGAATATCTTCACTCGAATCTGAAGAGTGAATCTGATGTATTCCATTGTTAGCGGAACATATTCACTCCAATTAATTGAAACATTCGTTCATATAATCCGTCTACTTTGATTTCAAGTAAAACATTCACTCTTGTGATCTTAAATGGCTCTTGAATTTTCATTATTATCTCCAGTGAAAAATTTAGAAAGCACTATATATGTGTTCTTATTATTTTAGTCTTTAAATATAGATATTTAAACTTTCAACATAAAATATACAAGTATTGAGTATATACATATATTCTCTATGTTAAAAGTTTAAATATCTATATTTAAAGACTAAAATAATAAAAGTATCTAAAATTAGGTATGTATCTAGAAATTGGGTACTTTTTCTTTAATAATCTTTTACTTCTCCTGAATTCAATTTCCGCAACAATATCACATATCTCATAATACATTCTGCATATGTATAAATGGGATCAATCCTTGAATGTATAGCGATGATTGAAAAATTAGCCATATTAGTTAACAATCTCTTCGCTTTTTCTGAGTTTGACTTTCACGATAGTATCACGTATTGATTCTTCGACAGAAAATAAATAAGATATAGAATAGAGCTCGTGTCCGCGAGAAGATTGATTTCTACGATTACAAAATGAACGATATTAATTAACAATCTTTTCATTTCTTCTGTGTTCAACTTTCGAGACAGTACCAAGTGTTCTCATGATACATTTTGCATGCACGTACTGAACTGTAACGGGATCAACTTTCGAATGTCGATGAGCTAAACGAGGACTACTCAAAGGACAAGGGATCATCTGCTACACGCGAAACAACAGTTAATCCTTCAACTCGGAGTCCCACTCTTTGTCGAGGAGTTTAAATTTCACGCTGTTGTGCCAATTTCGCGCGTGGTGTCGCATTCACAAGGATTGTCCTTCCCTGAAGACGACTGTTCCAAGAGTGATTCTCTTTCTCTCTCTCTCTCTTCTCTATCTTCTCCTCCTCCCTCTCTCTCTCTCTCTCTCTCTCTCTCACCTCCTAAAACAAAGCGACAGACGGGCGGTTAATGCACGAAGGAGCGTGGAATTAACACAACTCCGCGTGTCGAACGAAATTACCCGAGCACCCTGAACTGCATATTCATGTGCCAACGGATTATCTCTGTGTACTGACGATCTAGTATTTCGTCGGTTATTAATGCATTCGCGTGTACCCTCGTGATTTTAGCCACTCTGCAAAATTGTCGGCGCTCGTCCCCGCTGAGATACGCATGAGTGGATCAATTATTCGTAAAGAAAGCTCCACTTATAATTAACACCACCGTTGTACAAGCATCGTGCCGCGTATACGATTTGTTTGCGATATCCACCGGTACAAATTGGTATTTCGAGGCAATACAATGGAGATCGAGACCCGCGCTGAAAAAAATGGTTTTGCGATTGTTTGCATAACGAAAACTATCTAGATACGAGTAATTAGTTAAGGTAGATTAATAACTAGTAAGCATTACTATATCGCACGTATGTTTTGTATTCAATCAACAAAAATAACGGAATTTTTTATATCCAAATTATTTGTAAGATTTAACGAAGAAATCTTGTCCAAATATATTATTCGCATAATTCGAACGTCTATAATATTTCTCGCATAATTCTAACGTCCTAAATAAAGAAATAAGGAAATAAAGAAATAAGGAATAAGGAAATAACATGAACGATTTTTGAGAAAATGAAAAAATTAAGAATAGTTTTTGAGAAAAGCATAGCTTGATAACCAGTATTGCAAAGTCGATGTACAAGTTTTACAACAAGTATGAATATCAATAATTTCTAAAAATTCACTGAAAAATGAGATCTTCAAATCGTCTCTTAAAACAAATGTTCCTATCACTGTTGGATCCTTATTTATGAATAAAAAGAACAGAACTTGGTCGGTACAACTGCAAAATGAGAATATTTATTATGTATTAATTACACGCGTAAAATGATTAGCGAATAACTTTCGCGGGGGAAGTTTTACGGCAGGAAGTTGCGCTCGATAAACTAACTAAACAGACTAAAGTTTTTGCAGACTCTGTTCGTTAAACGTAAAACGTTTATTAACGTGGAGTGGGCGTATTAATTACAACCTTTGGCAGCTTGCGAAAATAAATAATTGAAAAAGGACGAAGGTCCCCGCGGGCGTGGATAGTTGTTAGGAAAAAAAAATCATTAAACAAACTTTTGAAAAGTAGAGAAACAGGAAGGATCGTCGATCTCACAAGATAACAGCGTTTCTACTTGCAATAATATACCGCGTATCATCCGTGCGCCAAGAACAGAAACTAGAAACTTAATATCGAGTGGCAACGAATTACTTCGAACGCAGCCTAGCGAAGATTAAAGGAAAATTGCCGTATCCTTTATCAAGTTTACTTAACAAACTACGCATGTAAATCGCTTGTTTATTGTTACCGCGCATGTCGATGAACGAGCGTATCGATATCACCTCGATATCACGCCGTGCGTGTCGAGAGAACAGGTCAATAACGATTTAAACGTTTGCAATCAATGACAATTGAATTTTCAGATGTCTAATATTCACAGCATCTCGCAAAATCCGATATTCACGATATCAAAAACGTGAGAGTGTTTCCACAATGAATAAAAATTGATCTCCGCGAGATATATGTGAAAGAGGATAAAATTCACATGTTTTTTCTGTACCGAGAGAGATGGAGAGATTGTTAATTTTGATCATTAATCACATTAATGGCAACCTCTCTCACGTGTACACGTTGCATATTGATATTAAAAATTGATATTAAAATATGCAGAGAGAGACATTCTTATGCGCGTAGACGCAATACGACGAGGACACGAAGTGTCGTGGGAAATTGAAATTTATCCGGACGAGTCAAGACGCCACTAATTGAGTTAAGGCTTAATTAGCCCGCGTTTTCCGAGTGTACGACGGGATGATTTACTCTGTTTGCAGGATACTTTCCGCTGCCGTCGGTTTATTGCCTGGCCTGGATTTGCCTCGACGTGCTGTTTTGCACCGCGAGCATAATGCACTTGTGCACTATAAGCGTGGACCGCTATCTGAGTCTGCGCTATCCGATGAAGTTCGGCCGCAACAAGACCAGGCGAAGGGTAATCTTCAAGATTATTATCGTGTGGCTCCTCAGCATCGCCATGAGTTTGCCCCTGAGCTTAATGTACTCCAAGGTAAGCTCGTCCATTCATTATACACTCAAAAAAATGTTTTGCTGGTCCAGCTAGAATTCTAAAGCTCACAGTTAACATTTAGTGTTTCGTATACCTGCTAGAAAATTGTCTGTGGTACGTGAAATTTGCAGCAGCAGCAGCATTCTAGCAATATCTGCAAGCAAGTTTAGATAGGTGTGAGGATTATACATTCATTTGTCTCTCGTCTTTTTGTCTCTTTAGCCAATATTTATGAAACGTATGACTAGTTTCAATAGGCTTTCTTGCAAAATTTCACAAATAGTTCAGATAGAAATTCTGTTTCTCTCTGTCATCTAACTTTTATTTGTTAAATTAAATATAAAACAACAATATCGCAGTGTTTGGCAATCATTTATCCATTAGCAAATTTCTTATATAAAATTTTTATATAATTATTTCTCGTATCTAAATAATTTTTGCTACTACAAGTACAATTTTCGGACTGCAAGACTACTTTTTTTCATCATTTTTTCATTGTATCATCATACAAAGGTAATTGGGATGGGCTCACAATTAAATATTTCTGGTAACGCGCACTGAATGTTTTTTGCCATGTATGAGACACTCGAATCGATCACGCAGGAAAGAATCACGATGACATTAACATGACGAGGTAAAATGATTAAAAATTCACTTTTCAATCATGACTCAATCGTTTCCTTGTTACTTTGACGTCATCGTGATTTCCTGTTCTGCTTGGGGAGTTTTCAAAAAAATTCAACAGCCAGAACTGTTGCCTTGCTGCTTGCCCTCTCAACTTCTCTATTTCGAGCAACAGCTCGTTAAATATAAGGAGTTCAGGTGCAAGGGTCGTGTTTGCAGCCGTGAATCTTGGTGACCGCGTGACACAATTTTTTTGTCTGTCGCTTATCACCGCACGAAGCACCCGCTCAGAAAACAGAAATCCATTTTCGTAATCTCGCTTCGATCGAACGTGGCTTTTTCAGATGAGTCGAAGGATCGAAAGACGCCGGTACGTTTTCAACTTCGTGCAGCAAATGTTAAATTTCGCCCATTAATATTTTCTCCCTTCCCCCTCCCTCCTCTCTCTCTCTTCTCGTGCATGGAATTTATACTGAAAACCGCTTCCGTAAACGTTCCGCAGCTTGGCTTTCGGGGTAATTTTTGTTGCATCATAATGAAACATCGCGCACGCAAGACGTTCCATGCGGCACGCTTCGTCGTCTTCCAGCCGCTTGTAAAAGTTGCTTTACGAAAGATCGATGCGCAAGTATCAATTTCGGGCGCGTGAAGCCATCAATGCTATTGATGCTGGTCCCGGCTCTGTCACAACGCGAAAGTTTATCGCCGTTCGCGGGAAGTGTCGCTCATCGATCATTCGGCGGGATAAGGGCAGATGGATTTATATACGCGTATATACGAGGGAGTGCATCCGCCGTTTTTCATCGGCCCGGCATCCGAGCAACGGAACGAGACCAACGATATTTTCCCGACGGGGGCGAAATTAATGCGCGAAATGAAGCGACGCTACATTATAAAACGGCGTCCGCTGTTTCGGAAAGCCGGCGCTCGTAAATTCTTAACTAGCCCTTCAACCGCTCGCGCATTTCTGCCGCTGCCGCGTTTGCGCCGCAATTGCCCTCAAAAATCGCGTATTAAATATATCGCCGTAGAAGCGAGGCCGACGCCGCGAAATGTAGCGGACACGTGCAACTTGCATTTCAAACAACTCCGCGTATTATTCTTGTATGATATTCCGCGTTTCGTTTAAAATACGATTACCTTACGGTTCAATCAGTTTACAAATTGCAAAACGATGACGCCCTCTTTCCTCTCTTGGTAATAATTTATGATACTATAAACACACACCGAACGCGCACTCCATTCACGCCGTTCAGTTTGTTTCCTAGTATTTTTCAAACGAAATATTAAAATATTTTAATACGTTTATCTTTCATCCTCTCCCCCTTTTCCCTTCATCTCCATCATATTTAGTCGGAGATTTAATAAAACGGCAATATACGAGATGTGAGACGTTTTAATATTCTCTAAACTTCTTGAGGCGGAATCTCACTCGAAACAAGTGAAAAGGAGAAAAAGTGGAGTCAAAGTGGAGAGCTCACCCTATATGAACGAAAAGTTACGCGAGTTCGAGTGACTCGGTGGTCATTCCACTTTTCGAGTGAAATTTTATTCAAAGGAATTTAATGAGTGCTCTCTAAATTTCTTGGAATGGAGTCTCCCTCGAAACGAGTGATAAGTGGCGGTGTTTTCACTCGAAGCGATTGTGGAAACATTGCCACTCGAAGTGACAAGAGTGACTGTCTCACTCAAACTTGGAGGACATCCTGACTCCATGTGAGCGAGTGTTCAAATCGATTAGAGCGAAAAATATGTTTCCATGACAATGGAGTACGTCAGATTTACTCTTCAATTTCGAATCGAAATGCTCAATTGACTACTGAAAGTGGAGAATTCACTCTGTATGAGTGAAAAAACACTCGAATTCGAGTGATTCCGTGGCAGCGTTGGGCATTAACCGATTGAACCTATTAATTGACTAAAATAGTTGACAAATCAGGATTAATCAATTGTCATGTACAAAATAGATTGATTAACTTAATAGAATAATTCGACTGTATAATATAATCAATTATTATATAATTATTGATGAAACTTTGATTTGACTAATTACACGCTGATTAATAATTAATTTCATCAGTCGGTAAAATTAATTTAACTATTCGTGATTGCATATAATAATTGATTTGTTTTGACTATTGATTCACTGATTACTTTATTTAAAATTTTAATCGATTGATGCCTAACACTGCTCGCGCTGCTCACACTACTTTTGAGTGAAAGAATGCAGTCAGGTTTAGATTCACCTTGTGGCATTTGAAATCTCAAATTTTTTTAAATAAAATTATAGCTATTTATGAGTAGATTAAAGATATATAAGTATCAAAATATGCCTCGCCATCAAAATGGCCTAAAAAATACATATTCTGTCAAAATAAATATCATTAGAATTCTTACAGAAAACGTATAGGAAATATTGCAAGCAATGAAAAAATGAAAATTTTATCAATAAAATAATATGAATTATATATATATATATATATATATTTAATAATATATAAAATAATTATATATATATGAATGTTAATATTTATTAATTTAAGATGACTTTTATCAAGCTCTGATTAACTGAATCGTTGATCAAATCCGTTATAACTAGCAGAATTGATCAATAGCTATTTGCCTATCAACAGCGTTACAATTTCATCAAAAAATAATATTTCAAATACCACAAAATCTTAGCTAAAATCTTATGAGCTTAGCTTCTCTCTTTCATTCCGAGAAATTCAGAGAATAAGAAACACTCATTGTAGATTCAACTTTTCACCCTTTTTACTTCTTAATGATATTAATCATTACCATTACAGATACGTGCATTATCGTATCATGTTGTTGTCGTAGTACACGGAGAAAAATACATCGCGCCGCGAGAAAGAGAAAGAGGCAACGGCAACAATGAAGTAATTAGACGTCGCCTTGAATTTTCGCGAACAAAAGCACGACTGCAAATTCGGTCTGGAAAATAACCCACCGAGCGCTACGGCTTTCACGGAATGTTCACGGCGCGTGTACACGTCTAACAGATTATTTTCTTGCCTAGCCGGCTTGTGTTCATCGTCGTTCAAAAGTTTCCGGCAAGCAGCTCTCTCTCTCTCTCTCTCTCTCTCTCTCTCTCTCTCTCTCTCTCTCTCTCTCGCTCTCCCGCAAATGCGCCAACTACTTTCGTTTCTTAGTGAGACGAACACACCGCAAACCATCGACGAGTTTGTCGGACAAGTTTCACAGCGAGTTGGCGGCAGCGCCATTTACCAAGCGCGTTTCCTTACGGGGTATCGATCGCGGGAATTTCGCGGCAGCCGTGCTCATTCAAAATTCCATCCGATGCACCGACTGAAATGCGCCCGACGTCGACGGCAGCGGTGGCGAGAAAGGGTGAGCACCAAGGAGGACAAAAATATTCCGCGAGCCTGGTTTTATATAGAAATATTCCGCATTCTCCTTTTGTTTCAATATTATCTCGTCCGAGTGAGTTACTTCGCGAGCGAGAGCATTGTAACTCGGCTTTTTCGTTTCCGTAATCGGAACTCGCCAAGAATGCAAGAGAATTCTCAGATCTCCGCCTATATCCGAGTCCGAAAATTCTCAGGGGAGCGCAGAAATCTCAAGATCCTCTCCAATGCTTTGAATTCCCGGCGTCTCGATGTGCTTCTAAGTATCCATCCACTTTCGACGTCTCGACTTACCGGATCCCGGAGTCCTCTCGTCCTCGATTTTCTCCGCGCGTGCCTGTCCGATCTCCTCCCGTCCTTGAAACATCCTGACAAATTAAAGAGCGTAATGACATCACGACTCGACCGGCAAGCCCAGCTTCTTCGACTGTCGCGTCGAGTATTATCGACTGACGTCGAGCGGAACTCGCCGCTTCGGCGTTCAACGCGCGACACGTGCGGCGACGTGCCGCACACAACACACGCGCGGACCTGCACGTGCGCGCAATCTCGTCACGGAGGGTTGCATCTCCCTGCACTCATCAGCGGACATTACGACCTTCGCTCGATCATTCCGTCGGCACGGAACTGGAATACGAGCTGACCATTAACGGGCAGACGGTGACTGAGGACGGAAGTATACTTCAGGCAAGATTCATGTCCGCTCCGCGAAAAGGGCTGGCTGGGTGGTAATAGACCGCCCTACGAGTTCCACATCAAAGTTTAGTGATGAATACAATGAATTATGGAGAATTGTTGCTTCATGATAATTCCCCTCGGCGGTCTCTCGTGAAACGTGGAAATAAAGTGTTCGAATAAAATTACAAAAATACGATTCCCTCTTTATTCATGTGTGCTCTCTCTTTTTCTCTCTCTTGCTTTCTTTTCGTGTGTCTCTGACATTTTTCTGTGTCTCTTATATGTCTCTGACATTAATTAACGTTCGTAAACAATTTATAAAAGAACAAGAGTCGTGAAGATTCCGACAGCGAGCTTACTTATGATCATCGCGCACTATGAGAATTATTTCGCAACATATCTTGAATGCTCCCTTGTTGTGCACTTCCTACAACGCAGTTATAACCCCAGAGAGTTCTTTCCTAAGATGAAAAGAAGTGAAATCACATTGCGCATTATTATCTCATAGAAAAAGAATCCCCATTCATAATTTCGTAAATAATTAAATCTGCAGGCTATTCGTTAATTTATTTTCTCGGTTGGGAAACGTGGTTAACGGATGGCGAGGTGAGAATGATTGATAACACGGGTGTCTTTGACGCAATAAATTTATTCGAGTTCGCAATACTTTGCTAATTAAACATATAGATGGGAATCGCGACGAATATAAAAAAACAGGCGTGTGATATTAACGGAAAGTGAGGACGAGTGTATCGCGATTTCATCGCGATGACGAATGACGGGCGTGTCGGGATGACAGAACGAGGCGACGCGTGTTTTCACCCCTTAATCCTCGGTGTACTCGAAGGGCTCGGGCGGCTCGGCTTCCTTCTCCTCGTCGGGCTTTGGCCCGAAGGCTGAAACAAACCGGAAGCTTTCACAGCACACGCCTACAACACTCACGTGCTTGCTAGTCAGCCAGAAAACTAATCGAACTGCCGCCCACCCAATTACGGACTCGCACATTCGGAATTATTACACGCCACAAAAGTCACGATAACGATACGAAGGATCTTTTAATTGCTTCAATACACCGCAATCGCATTTATCTTCTATGGAACAGTATAAAAACGAAAATTTCGCAGTTAAATTTTACAATATCAAATACATAAATTGTACAAAGCTAAAAAATTTAAAGAGCAACAATATTGCTGCAAATCTCTTCCTGTACTTTGACTGTCCCAATATATTACTGTAAATTCTTCCCTATACTAATATTGATGAATAATTTTTCTTTCGCGAGATCATGCTTGCTGAATTTCAAAATTTAAAGGACCTTTTTCTTGCTACTTGAAATGAGTGAATTGAGAATCGATTACTCACCGGCGACAGGTTCGACTAGTTCCTCCTCGGTATCGGTTTGGATGTGCTTGACCATGACGATACCACCAATTTGAATATCTTTGACAGGAACGTAATGACTGCCCTCGACCAGCTGAATAACCTTCAATTGCTGACGCAAAACTCGAGCGGGATTTTGAAGAATCTCGAAGTTCGGTTCCGGTTCCTTCTTCTCCTTCTCTTCGTCCTTGCCCTTCTTCTCGGTCTTCTCCTTGGGATCTTTGACCTCCTTAGTCTCCTTCTCATCTTTGTCCTTCTTCTTTTCGTCCTTCTCCTTCGAAGATGACGCTTCCTTCACCTCCGGCAACTCCTTCGTCTCCGAGGGCGGATCCTGCAATTTTTCATTATTTTCCCTTCCTATGAAACAAACCTCCGCACTTCCCGTCGCGACAGGCGACGTAATTAAAATCTGTTAGCGTGTCCTTTTCCGTGTTTTTGCATTATAAAGTTCCAAGATAGGATGTTCCTAACGAACGTCGACGTTTCAGAAAAAAAAAATTGGATTTTCTGACAACATAAACGTGAGGAATCCCGTCCAAAGGTAATGAATCTTCTAACTTGAAGTTTGATATATTTGAACACTTAAAATAAAAAATATAGAATCCGCAAAATCGCGAGTTTAAAAGTTTTGTCAACAAATCCAAGAGTGTTAAAAATGTAGAAATCTATAAATTCAAGGTATATCGTGCAAGAAATCAAAAAAGCTCATAAAATTCGTTCAAAAATTCAAAGACCTACGTAGATCCAAAAGTTTCGAGATCCAAGACATCAGCCCGTGGATCCAAAAATCAAAAAAAATTCCGAATCATTTTCGTGAGGAGAAGCGCAGGAGCAAAAAATTCAGAATCCTGAGATTCTCGAGGATCCCGCAATTGGAGACGGATTCACCGCTCGTACGTTATACAGAAGCCTCGATATCAAAACCAAATCCCTGGGACACTCCTTATCGGAACTCCTCCGAGCGTGTTCGCCAAGAAAAGGACAGGCGAGTAAACAATGTTTCCCCTCAACTAACCACGTCCATCTTCTCGTGCGAATCCCTGGCCCTTCTCTCGGACTCCCGTCGCCTGGCACGCGCTGCGATGCTGAGCACGGCAGTGGTGACCTTCTCCCTCTCCTCCCGCTTCTTCTCCTCGAGGGGCGCAGGATAAGCGTAAACACTCGGTCTGGCGTTCGACCTGATCTCCAGCTTGGGCATCTTCAGCTGGGCGTTGAGCGCGATCAGGCACGTTGGTGTGAAGGCCAAGGCCAAGCAGTGCGCCAGCGGGAACCAGTACCAGTACTGGGTGAACACCAAGGCTCCAACCACCGCCAGCATATTCGTATGACCCGTTCTCGATTGCAGTGACACGGTCACGTTGCGGCCACCTGAGAAAGACGCAAGTCCGTGCGTTTTTATTTCGCGGCTATGCTAGCAATCGCTTTTCCATGGCCTCAGGAAAGAAAGAAAGAAAAGGAGAGAGAGAGAGAGAGAGGGAGGGAGAAGATTATCGGGATTATCGGAACTCTAAAAAGCTGTGCCGATAAAGGTGAAGGCTCTCGGTTGCTTGCGGCGGCAGATTCACGCGGGATCGAGAAACTCTCAAGATCCGAGGAGTTCAGGATGAGAAAAGCAGTAAAAGTCGAAAGACGTACGTTTCGAAGATCCAAGAAAATTTTATCGTGGATCGAAACGAGGATTCTCAAATGTCTCCGCCAGACTCGGTTACACATAGGAAACTTCTTCTTGAAGACTTACCGGCGTCGATGATTCCTTGCGCCAAAATAGCTCCGAACTTCGCCATGACATCCTCGTGTTTATCCACTACTACTTTGGCGTATAGAGCTCGAAAATCCTTGACGCGGGGACATGTAGATTCCGTCTGTTGGATCAGGATCATGGCGGAGGCGATCAACGCGCCTTGCCTGACGAAGTTCACGGGGTCATTCGTCATTGGGTCCAGCAACGCGATAGCCTCCTTCAGGCCTGTACCAGCACAGGCGATACCTAAAGCCATTGCCGCGCCGTATCTCACATGAGGATTGTAGCTCTCCGCCAAGAGCGAGACAACACTGGGACATTGCTCCGGAGTCCTGGAACATACAAGACAATCGTGCTCCTAATTCTCGGCTCCTGATTCCTGCTTGTGTGCACGCGAACAGTCGCACAATCAAATAACGATAAAAGCTCGCGGCAGATATAAAACTGCATCATCATTAAAGTTTAATCATAATCCAGTAGAACGAATATTCTCGATATCTTTTTTTCACCAATTTCATATCCCGTCCCATTGCTTCTTTCACATTTTTCTAATTAACATTGGTTAATAAAATATTTTCTTTCTTGTGTCGTGCGATGTCACGCGACTGTAATTATTTTATATTCCTATATCAACCAATTAAAATGCCACGAATGATTCGTGTTAGTGTTAATTTTAATTAGCACATCAGATATAATAATATATCTACCAATTTGTTCAATTCTTTTCATCTTTCGAATAATATACAATAATAATACAATAATAATAAGTAATATAAGTATATAATAATAATAAATTATATATTGTAATAATAAATTATATTATATATATTGTATAATACACGCGTCGGATGTTAATTTCCTGCTTTCGTTCTGTTTTAGGAAGACGAGTCGGTGCTGGTGGACGGAGAATGTCAGATCCCGGACCCTCTTTACAAGTTAATTGGTAGCATAATATGTTTCTATATTCCCCTGGGTGTTATGCTGCTAACGTATGCGTTAACGGTGAGACTGCTGGCGGAGCAACAGCAGAACATCGGTGGGACTGCAGCAGGTTGGTCATCGGGATGGTTGGGTGCTCCTCAGGGCGCACCCTCTGCAGCAGGTTAGTGTATTGTCACGTACACTAGCCTGTTTACACTCCTTCTCCACCCTCCCACGGGACAGAAATTCCGGGCTCACCCGACCGCTACCCCAGATCTACACGAAACACTCGCATACATTCCCGTCTTTTTATCGGTCCTATTTCGATTTACTTTTTTAACAACAATGTCATTATCGTTGCGTTGTCATTGCGCGGGTATAATGTATGATAGAAAACCTACGCAACGACAACATAACAACACTATTGTTAAAAGTTATAGAACCCACTCTGTAGGTCTCGAACAATTCTTGCATATTCTTTGAGCTTTCATTAGTTGATTATTTCTTCCTCTCTCTTTTTCCTTTTCAAATATAAATTTATGATAAACTAAATATAAGTGCGTTTGATTGATAATTCACGGCCTTCAACGCTCAAGTATATCAGCGTTCTGGGCCCTACGCAAGCGTAGTGTCTTTTATCTTGCATGTTAAGAATTTCACTATTCCATCAAGACCACTTCTGTCAAATTTCCTGTTCTTTTCCTGTCCGTCCAATGATGATAAAAAAGAAATAAAGAGCATTGCCGCTACTGTCCAGATCGTACTTTCGTCAATTTTCTCCTTTTTGCGAGATTTCCACTTGTGAATAAAAGAGAAATAAAAATAATGGATATAGCTACATATCGCCAAATGTTCTTCTTTCCAATTTAAAATTTTTTTTTCGCCCACTACCGAGCGATTCTCCCGCGCGACAATATTTCCTGCTTTTTCCCCGAGGGCACAGTTATTCGAAAACGAGCCGCAGAATACAGAAGCGGCGGCTGTGTGTGATTTAGTTTCTCCGCACGATATAAAAATTATTTATTCCGATTTATCGGCCGGCTTCCGGCGGCGATACTTCAAAGGAAACCGCGCCTCGTAGGCGTCTCATAAACGTTTCCCGAGCTGCGCAAATTCGCCGTTCTGAAACAAAGCACTCTTCAGAGAGAAGACGTGAGAGAGAGAGAGAGAAAAAGAGAGAGAGAGCCTCTCCCTTCCGGGGCAGAAAGTTTCGCCGGAAGCCACCGTTTATTGTCGCTTTGATTTTGCCCAACAACCTTCCGATTACCGCGACAAACGGAATTTGCACACCAACTTCACACGGAAATGCATTTTGTCATTCAACATGCTACATCGCGCAATTATTGCGTTTTAAAACGCACTTTCGTCATGTTTCGTGAGCGATTTGAGCAAGAAGCGAGTCGCGCTCGAGGCAATGTAGAATTCAAGACGCCAAGAATAAATATTGACTGGTAATTTAAAGGCAAGATGCTTTTCTTCTTCCTTAAAAATACGTTTACATATTTTAAAATCAGCTTCCACTGCAGACAGCTTCGCAATTAATGATAAATGATCTTGAGAAATGTTCGAACAAGAAGAAACAATATAAATTAAGAACATTAAATTCAACTGAAAATCCCTCTGAAAATGTTTATACACTGAGAGATAGAAAAAATATCTAAAAAAATTAAAAAAATTAATATGTGGGGGAGTATTAATAATATACACATGTCCACATTGAAGTAAACATATTCAAAACATGTTTACTTCAATTTAAATTCTTTTTTTAAATACGATAAACAATTGTTTTCATGAAGAGCAACGCGGCTTTAGGAAAATGTATATCTTTTTTAAAGAAAGAAAGAAAGACATTTTTTCTCGATGTAAATATATATATATATATATATATATATATATATATATATATATATATATATATATATATATATATTAGTAATAAGTTATTAATATTTATCGAATCAATATATTTTGTTTTTAAATATTTATTCTCTCAGTGTACAAGTAGGGGAATTTTCCTGAAAGGGCCATTTTTTGCGTGTTTTATTCATCATACGCTTTGTGTGCGTATCTTTAATATAATGTTAAAAAATCTAATAGAGTTTCATTTTCGATTCACACCCTTCCATCTTCTAAAGTCTCAATACATCTTCAACGCGCCCGCTGTATAAAACATAAGCTCTTCTCACGACACGAGGCACTCAAAGGATTTTAGCACGCGTCGCGTGCTGCAATCCCCGAATCCCAAAGAATACTAAGTGCCTGTGAATGGAGCTCGCGCCATGAGAAGTATCGATTAATTTCATTTCGACGAGTAGCCGGAAGCGGCCTCCTTAGCATATTGTGTCGCATCCGGGATCTTTGCATAATGGCCGGAATTTGCATATCTCGTCGTGGACGTTGGTGAGTTGAGGGTGGGTTCGTGCTGACGAAATTTCTTGTCGCGAGAACGCTAGGCAGAAGTCCGCCGTCCAGTCCCATCGTCGATCTTGGGATCGATCTTTCCGTAAAAACGAACCGTTCCGCCGCCATTAATCATGTGACTGTCGTCAGCCTCGTATTTTCAATGGCAAACACGATGCACGGGGAATTATACACAACAGTGCAGCAAAACAGAAGCACACGAATAGCTTATAAGAACAATCGGCTATCCCGAAGAGGATCGACCAAACCACAATTGTGACTCGCTTCGCCTCAAAAACATTCCGACATTCTCGTTTCATTACCGCTCACAAAACTTATATTCTTCAGGAAATGTTCCAACTAAACTGCTTTGCGCTCCAAGAAATCGTTTCACATCTCCCATCCACTAAAATTGCTCAAACCGTCTTCCGATAAAAGCTCGCTGCAATCCTGTTCTCCAATATTGCCCGGCTGTCAAAACCACTAGAATCTCACATAGAAAAAATTTCCAGTTGAAAAAACACTGCAGAAGTTTCTCCCCAAAAAAATAAAGAGGAAAAAATTATTAGATTAACAAATCGCTGGAATTTCGATAAAACGCTAAAAGACTCGATGCTGCCCGATAATTTACAGGTCTCGAAAGGCGAGGCACCTGGAAGCGGTTCCTTCTCAACAAAAGCTCCGGCGGGAGCGGCGGCACCCCGCAGCACACTTCCGGCACGTCAACCGACACCGAGCTGACTACCCTCGACACCCATGAGCTTTGGCTCCCGGAAAGCGAACCACCACCCTCGGCCATGTCCGCCCTTCACGCCTTCGGCGCGGAGATGCTGAAGCTGTCGAGGGGTCTCGAGGGAATGGCCAACCCCGGAAGCCAGACTCCATCGAGATCGACGTCTCAGCATCAGCAGCAGCATCAACACGGGCCATCGCACCGCAGATGCAGCTTCCGCAACGGGTATGGCCGACTTGTGTCAGAAATCAGCCAGTCATGCTTGAGAACCAAGGCTGTCCTTTCCACACGGGCTTCCCTTATATTTTATCATTAAATCTCCCGTCACTTGCATCGTGTGAGTAAAATTCATGGAAACCTTGACGATCCCAACGAAAGGAACGAAGCAAATGTACGAGAAGCAATAGGTAAAAAAGTGCACAAATTGAAAATATAAACCGTGACACTCATAAATGACAAAAGGTCATAAATGGGCAAGTAATGTACAAACAGTAATTAACAGACACAAGAAATACTGCTAATTCTTCTCGTTTGATCTTCATTTCATTCACAACGGATTTGTATAGATATGTTTTTCTTCTATTTTTAAAAGAGATTCCTCAGAGAATCGTGAATGTTCCAAAGTAAATGGCACTGTTTATACTTGGATTTATTTGACTTTAATTCGGAAAATTCGTCTCTACACGACCTTTACTTCATTTGCATCATCAAGAGTTCGTTATTATTATTTTCTTCTCTATCCGACATCGTCGAATATAACTGATTCGTTTTGCGCGGAACACCTTGCGCGCACGAAGGTGACATTTCTCTCTGGCGCAATTTTACAAAGAGGGAATTTCTGAGCTTGTCTAGGTTTTCATGGAGAAGCTCTCAATTATTAACGCACATATCCATCGCGTTGTAACCTCGGCTCTCAAAACACGCCATTGTGCCTGACGGCGGAGCGTTTCTGTGGCAATACGACGGCACGAATTTGTGTCACTTTGTCACTCCAGCTCGCGGAACACCGTGACTGCCACGACGCGGTTAGCCCGCGCGTCAAGTCAACTTACTATTATGACCGGCGTTTCGGGCGAGTTCATGTCGCACGGTATACTCGGAAGCGACCTTCGGAAAGTCACAAACAAAACGATTCTTGCGTTTGTAATCGGACTCAGTGTGCACGATGAAATTAGTGTCTACCTCCCGGAGGGCAGGAAATTTGCGAATTAAAAGCATCGCGTGCGACATTTGACAGATTTCCCGAAGAAAACCCCCTGAGAACGCCGCACGCGACTTACACAGAAAAGTTTCTGCGACAAGTATTCTTTGTTTGTAGCCAAAATTTATTACGTAAATCTGCAAAGTCTGATCGATATTCGGTCTGAATGCATCTCAGATCTCTTGACATTTTTCTACCAAGAAGAATAACTCAGATAAAAAGTTTCTCTTAAGGCTCCTGGTCCCTCGCCGTGGAACTTGCGACTTATGACGTCAGTAGGGAGAAAAAGTATGCTCAAAATTCTTGCAAAATATGCTGAAATGACAGGACATGTCCACCAAGTAATCCTTGGAATCGTTTGAGCAGATTTGTGAAACATTCTGAAAACTTTCCTTTCGCTCTAACTAATAAGCTTTTTAGCCTACCTTTCCTCATGATTTCATCATGTTAAATTTGCGACTATTTATTGATTGTTAGAGCAAAAAAAAGAAATATTTTACAAATGTGCTCAATCGGTCACAAATGTCATTTTGTGGATATAACATTTCATTTCAAAATATTTCGCAAGAATTTTAGGCATACGTGTGTGTGTTTTCTCGCTTCTAATGTCATTAATCAAGATGGCCGCGACGAGGACACAGGAGCCTTGGCCAGAAGCGCAAATATAATACTAAACTCTCCGATATATATATAGAATGTCCGTCAGTATATGTTAACTCCTAAGCCCTTTGACGAACCAAATTTTGCATAGTTACTCTCTAAGACCCTGTAGAAAATATAGGCCATGTACTATGAAACCTGGATACCTCATCCTCTCCCTCTGACTTTATCCCCTTGACACTTTATGATAACCCAAACGACGCCGGATAGTTGAAGCTAGTCGGTTATAAGTCCTCAGAGGGCTACTCGATATTTGTCCCTTTTGATACTTTTCATCCGCCAACAATATCTCGAAAAATCAAGATATCGGCAGTGAAAGACGCCAATTTAAAAAATCATCCCCAAATTCGTCGTAAAAATACGGGATAAAGGTAAAGCGAGAAAAATCTGGGTGACGCCTTATATACAGGATCATCGCCTGCTTCCTGAAGGTAGAACGAACCGCAAGTGAATCGTGAGAGGGGAATTATATTTGACGACGTTTAGAGTTTCCAGCGTCTCGGCGGATCGACGGGGAAACGCAAGCTGAAAGTGGAACGAGAACGTCGAGAGTGCGACGGGAATATTAAACGACTCTACCAACTCCTCCCGCCGTCGTCCCGCTCCGTCCTCGTCTCTCTCTCTCTCTCTCTCTCTCTCTCTTTCTCTCTCCTCGTCGTAGTAAAATATGTTTCAATCATAATCCACCGATCCACGGTTACGCTGTATTGCCTGCTCGATTTTCTGTCCCCGCCCTGCCTCGATCCGTGTGTCCTATAAAAGGAGCGCGTTTCAAGCAAGAATCTTCAAAGGACCAAACAACATCGGGAGAACGAAACGCCGATAAGAAGTCAAAGAAAATGGAGCTCAAGAATTTAACGATTTCTGCCAGTGTAAAGTACAAATTCGTGAATATACGGAGGAGGAGGTAGCGGGAGCGCACGTGATCCTGAAGATATTTTCAGAGAGGATGTGTCGGGAATCCTGTAAACGGTCACGTCGAGCATTGCCTCTTGGATTTCCCCCCCTCTTGATCCACGTTGGATTCTTTGAGCGGAGTACATTTATCGAAGCTTACGCGAATCTTCCTCGAAGAACTATAAACGGTGTCGTGATGATCGTTCCCAGCGATCTGAAAGGCTCGTGGAAACAACATTCGTGAACCCGACAATACCTTCCAGGATGAATTCGCAAATCGGGCGTTTAGTTCACGCGACCCTCGAAGGAAGCTTCTCAAAAAGAGAACTTCAAGCTCGTATGTCGCGTTGTATCCTGAATCCTCTGTTCTACCTTTGATCCCGCGAGTGCTTCAAGAAATATATTTAAAGGTCAAACCTTTAAAGGGGTTGTAAGGTACTGAGAGCGATCACGAAAATGCTCGTAATTGAAGAGAATCTCAGATTTGCACAGAACTCGCGCGATTCCGCGCGAGATGGAAATTCGGCAGATCGAGTTGCGCGGATCCTGGAATAATTTCCACGGACTCGAAGCTTCTTCTTGTCTCTTTTCCTTCCCGATAAAATTGCGGAACGTAGAGGTGTCGGGAAATGCGATAGCTGTCGCGACGGAAGTCTTTCGAAACCAAAGAGACACACGGCGCACCCGTGACACGCACGATGGCGGATTTTCAGGGCGCAAGCGGCCTGGAAAAATTCCGCGTAGCGCGGAAAAGCGGAATCGTATCGCACGATCGGGCGCCGCTGAAAGGCGAAAATCTCTCAAAGTAAATTGGCGCAATCATTAAATACCTCGCAATCTGCTCTTTGAGATCGCGGGCTTCCTTTCAGCTGCGAAAATTCCGTTTTTTTACTCTTGCACCTACTAATGGACGTATCAATAACGGAATCACGGAGAGCGAACTCTTATTTAATAGCGAACCCATTAACCTTTACTTGGAAGTCCCATTACGTCCTGCACTAAAATTTCAAACGTATATTAAATCGTGAAAATCTCTGAGTGACATTTTTCCCTTTTCCTTCTTGAAAAGCGCGGTTAAATTTAACACCAAATTAGTTGTAATAATTTATAACCGACATTTCAACTCAGCTTCCCATAACAAAGAGCAAAATAAATTTGCGACTGCAAGAGGCTTTCTTGTTGATTAATTGTTAATACCATTTTATCGCGCAAACGCAAAATATTAAAATTATAATATTCGCCTACACTGAAAGGAAGAATGGGAAACTGTAAATATTTATTCGGTAGATAACTACTACTAATAACACATATATTTATTTATATTAATATAAAATATTTTTCAAACAAGATAAAATCTCTTGAAACATTAAGAACACTTTAGTTTTTCATGAAAGCAATTATTTATTCTGTTTAAGAGAATTTAGATTTAAATAAATATATTATTAATATCCATAAAATATTCACTATTTTTTAAATATTTTTGCACAGGAAAATCTATTGTGTCATTTTTTGTGTAAAGATTATAAAAGATAAATTCAGATCGCGAAACTTTTCTTTAGAGATTTTCTTAGAAAGAAGCCGAAAGGCTTAACTTAAAGTCATTTAAAAAATAATTAACAACTGATAAATCGAATTAAATTCCGTAATAAACGACTCCCGAGATAAGTTGCTCGTTTCGCCAAACGCCCTCCTTTACTTTATCAACGAAGTAAAATTGCTTGTCGGGAGATAAAAGCCGAACAAGAAGGCGATTTGTCCTCTCGGCCATTTTTCGCGCCGGTCGAATTTCTCGAAAATCTTGTCGGGGTGGGCCACGTGGCTCGGACGACGCGCGATGCGACGCGACGCGACGGTCACGCGTCAAAAAGGTCACCGCGACGAGAAAACCCATTTATACACGGTGGCCTCAAAGTGGATTGCACTTAGCTGCCGGCATTCAAAGTGTAAAACGGACCGGTCCCGGGGGACGGAAAGGGCGACCGAAGGAGTGGGGTTGCAGGTGGTGAGTTTCGCTCGCTCGTTCTCTCGCGGTCGTACTTAAGTAAACTGCTCTTGCCCCACGTGAGCCTCTAATAAAGGAATGCACTTAGAACCGACCGTGCTTCTCTGAACGCATCAAACGAAGATCACTTCTCTATCGCGCGGGAGTACTCAGCTTTTCGAAGCGAGAGTCACTCTTTGTCGATTTCTCCAGTTAAATAAACACAGTCCGTCACAAAAGCCCTTCTCCTCGTGTTTTTCTCTCTCTCCCTCTCTCTTCCTCCCCCCCCCTCTCTCTCTCTCTCTCTCTCTCTCTCTCTCTCTC